GACGACATCCTAAGACCTGTTTTGCTACCGTTCCCTTTGCAGCTGGTTTTTCAGCAGGACAATGCCAGACCACATACGGCACGTGTTGCTATGAACTGTCTGCAAGCTTGTCAAACTCTTCCATCGCCTGCCAGATAACCAGATCTCTCTTCCATCGAGCATGTCTGTGATATGATGGGAAGGCGATTGCATCTGGCACGGAATGTTGATGACCTCGTTCGACAATTGGATCGAATTTGGCAGGAAATACCGCAAGAGACCATCCGGGAGCTTTATCGGTCTATGCCACGCCGTGTGGCAGCTTGTATCCAGGCTAGAGGCGGGTCAACACCTTATTGAACTTGTTACTGTAACTCTGCAATAAATTATTCAATTGTTCTGAAATTTTAATCATTTACTATTCTGTACATTGTCTTCCTATCCACCAATTTTCGTTTCAATCGGACAACTCCTTCTTGGTGCGTCTATTTTTTTGTCTAAGTTTTTTGAATAAATAATTTTTTCCAGTTTTGGTTTATAAAGTTTTTTTCCCAGACATGAGGATACTATTGCATTCTCCCAGATTTTCGTAATGTTAAAACAAAACTGTTTTCGAATTATCAATAGCGTACAATTTTAAAAAATTTAAATTTTTTATTTATTAAAAGTCTCTTAAGTCTAAAGTCTCTTAGAGCCATGGGAAGATGACCCCTTTTCCCATCCTTGATTGCTCTGAATACTAAAAGTCAATTTTTAGTTCAATGGTATGTTTAAAATAAATAAAAAAAGAAATAGTAGAATAGACACTTAAGTAACGCTACGATGTGGGTGGTTAAGTAATTTGAAATGCAAGCTATTTTTGTTTTAACCGATCNTAAGTGGGCTAAATAAGAAGCAATTTAAATTTTTTTCAAGCCTAAATTAATAAGCATTTTCATCTGCAAAAGTGATTCACGTTAGTTTAAGAAATAATTACTTTAAATAAGAATTTTAAAAATAATATAAATACGTCATAAAAATATAAATAGTATAATAAATGAAAAAAATAGTTTTTAAAAAGTCATTCTCACATAAATTAATTATGGTCTTTAAAATATCTTTTAAAATTGCAAAAATAAATTAAAACAAAGTAAGAAAAACGAGCAAGTCCAACCATAAAATTAAGACACTGTAATTGTGATGCCACAATTGGTATTACATATTTATTTGCTATCTTTTAAAATATCTTTGATTACTTAAGCTGATTTTTGTTAATAGAATTACTTTTAAAATAAATCGAAGACGTAATCTTTTGAAACGCATATAAAATATTTATTCTTCTCTTATAGATCAGTGCAACGGATACTTTTTATTTTATTACTAATGCAGACTTATTAATTCACTGTCGCCTCTAATCGAAAACAAAAATATATTAATAACTTTTTAATTCTAAATTTTCTAACCGAAAATATGTTTCAGTTGCATGGTTGTAATAATTCTCATAAATTTGTTGGCGATTCGTGATCGCCAAGGTATTCTTTTAAACCCAATATTGATATGCTGGTTGGCTTTGTTTTGGCTATGTTATATTATGATAATTCGCCAATTTTGGATCTCCTACCCATGCTTCTCCTGTGGCCGATCGGAACAAATTACACGTACTTTTTAATTTGGCTTTTGATTAGGTAGGTCGTGGGGGATTTGTCTCCCATGGCCTGTCCTTATTAATATTATTATGCAAAATTGATTCAACTGAAATTCTTATGGATAATATTTACATTTGGTATCTCGAGCTCTGCAAATATATGAAATAAAAGCTTTGTATTAATTCTGATTCGGTTCAAGTATTATTTTCTTCATCCCCTGATTTCATCACTATCTTCAACTAACCCACTATACAAATACAAACTCCATCATCACTGAATATACATCTCAACATAAATTTGCACCCTGATAAATCTTTCCACTATAGTAATAATCAACGTATGAAATTTTTTTGAACAAGTAGTGAAAAAAAGTAATTAAGTTAAATCAATACTAACTAAAAACCTTCAACAAAAACCTATTCTTATTCTGTGTTCCTATGATGGAATTGCTTTAGTTCTAAGATTTTTACTTTTTTTTTTTGAAAAAAAAAATTCACGAATCTAAATCGAAATTTTTGTTTTCTGTACCAAATTTTCTATGTTAATATTTAATTTTCATGCTTTCTGTACCAAACATTTCGGTCTAAATTAAAGATTTTGAATTTAAAACACGATTAAATAGCCATCTAAGTTTTTTGAATAAATAATTTTTTCCAGTTTTGGTTTATAAAGTTTTTTCCCAGACATGAGGATACTATTGCATTCTCCCATATTTTCGTAATGTTAAAACAAAACTGTTTTCGAATTATCAGTAGCGTACAATTTTAAAAAATTTAAATTTTTTATTTATTAAAAGTCTCTTAAGTCTAAAGTCTCTTAGAGCCATGGGAAGATGACCCCTTTTCCCATCCTTGATTGCTCTGAATACTAAAAGTCAATTTTTAGTTCAATGGTATGTTTAAAATAAATAAAAAAAGAAATAGTAGAATAGACACTTAAGTAACGCTACGATGTGGGTGGTTAAGTAATTTGAAATGCAAGCTATTTTTGTTTTAACCGATCAAATCTCTTGCTCCATAAGAATGTGGGTTCTATCTGATGAAATTTTTCAATGAGACTTTTCATTATTATTTTTTCGCTTCGCTCAATTTTATTTATATATATATTTAAATTGAAATCAGAATCACATTACGCGAAAATGGGGTTGCCAGAAAAGGAGGCTCTATTGTTCATGCACGAAATTTTATTGCGGTTAAGAACCCTAAATGATGTTTGCATCAGAAAGGTGCCACAGCCATCGTTAATTTTGTCCTGCACCTCTTAGTAAATTTTCGATGAGTCGAAATGGCTCAGGATATAGAGCGTTTGCCTTCCATTGACGTGAACTGGGTTCGAATCCCAGCGATGGTTCGTCGATACGAATTCCGCATCCGGCTTACACTAACCACAGTGCTGACGTAAATTATCCTCAGTGGTAGACGAATAATGGAGGTTTTTGAGAGTAATAGAGAGTTCGGATAACGGAGGTTTTCGAGATTTTCTACCCCATGTAACGCAAATGAGGGTTAGTTCCATCAAAAAGTCCTCCACGAAGGCAAATTTCTCCCAATACTTAATCCAAGAGTTTCCTTGTCTTCTGGATTGGGTTCTAAATTACAAGGCTACAGAGTTGAACATTGGTAGTCGTAAACCCAAAAATTGGGACAGCTGTTCAACGACGGTTATAAAGTAAATTCACGATGTATTCTAATTTGAGATATTGGACTAAGACCTCAGCTTTAATACATTACTCACCGTTCTTGCACTTATTTCCAGCTAATTAAGAGGTGGCATAGAAAGATTTCAATTTTAAATTAAATAAAGAATCCAAGTTTCACAATCCAAAGTACATAAAACCATACTTCAATGCCTTTAAAAAAAAGCAGAGGATTTTTCTCGACCCAAAATAAGGATTATTCGAATCATTTCAAGTATAGAACAGTAAACAATATTTTGTTCTATAAAACATCACGCACAATATTAGAATTATATATGCTTACAGCTCTGAAAATGTTTAAGATAAGCTTTTTAATATAAACTGTTTTGAATCCAAAGCAGAAAATCAAATTTAAATATTGAATTTTAAGAATTTCATGAATTTGATCGAAGCTTTACCATCATTCTTCTTTCCTTAACAAGTAATTGAAGAAATATAAACGCTGAAGAACGTTTCTTTTCTTCCTACAATTTGATAAGCTTACCCCACTAAAACTATTCTTAAGACTTTAAAAAAATATCATTTTCATAAGAAATTCTTCAAAATTATGAAGAATTTCTTAAGATTTAACTCGATTTCCAAAATATCTTAAAAAAATTTGCAGACATTTTACAGGCATTTTGAATATCTTTAAGGTGAATTAAGATTTTCTTAAGACAGTTTCCTGAGTTAATGCTATCTTAAAGACTATCTTTTTTAGAATATCTTAAGAATTTTTGATTTAAACAAAGATTTTTTTAAGAATTTTTTCAGCTCACACAAAATGTGTTTTGTGATATTTTCGATAATGATCAGATTTTAGTTTTTGTTTAAATCTGTGAGAATTTCAATAATTCTCCAATTAAAGTATTTTTTCCAAGTAATACCTATTCTTAACAAGTAATTAAAAAATATAAAAGCTGAAGAACGCTTTGTATCTTCCTACTATTTAATAAGCTTATCAACACCCATAAAGGTGTCGCTTTTGTCTTTTTTTTATTTAAGTTGATGGTTAAATAGTTTAATTGCACTTTAAATTTTCGTTAAACAGTGATCAAACAATAGAAAAATGGGACATACTGAAAAAAATGAAGCCCACCAAAAAATAATAATAATTATAAGAGTTTGATGATGCGTAGGGGAAACAATTTTTGCATCAGTTGATTTCATTACAAAAATAAAATGAATGAAACGATCGAAGCAAAAGGTCTGTTTTCACCCTCCTGTAAGGAACCCCAGTAAAAAACGTGTTCATGTTCATGAATAATTTCATGTTTTATTTATCAATTTCCCGAAAAAGGAAATATTGATTCCCGTTTTTTTTAGACTTAATTCATAATTTTATACGTTTCCACCTGACGTGTCGAACAGCAATTTGAATTTAAGGTTATATGGAGCGTACTCATTTTTTTTCGTTCGTTATTATAAAATGGGCTTGAGGGCACATTCAATCAATTTGTCTGATAAATAAAGTATAATTATTGGATGGACGCCTCTCCTTTCCAAATATTTATTGACTCAGTTTAATGACAACGTCATGGCGGAGGGAGATTTGTGGGCGGAGTTCCAACATGACTATGGCATGATAAATAGAGTGTTTATCCACTTATTCTTCAATGAAAGAAATCGCTCAGTTTATTTTTCCCCCTTTCTTATCTCTTGTCTCCTATTGTTTTGAAGTAGTCACGCTCCACTGACCTTCAAACATTCTCTCTCCTTTGCAACAAAGTATTTGTCAATACATATCATCCGCATTCTATAAATGATGAAGTACTTATAAAGTACACACGAAGTTGAAGTGTCATTCTTGTGTTATTAAATATTGACATTTATAACCAGTTATTTTCCTTCACAACTGTTTAACTACAGAAATAGTTTTGAATTTAATAAAAAAAAAAGGCAGAGACGTAGCTTGAGATACTATTTGATTGGATGTCTTCGTTGACGCTTTGGCCTCATCCTCGGCAAAGGTAAATACGAACAGAATTTTGGGGAACTAACTCTAAAACTTCCCATGTTGCAGTTCATTTACGTCGCACTAGAATTGCACAATGGGCTATAAAAACTTCCCATGATCCGTCTACCACTAAGGATATTTTAACTTTAGCTCTGTGGTCAGCGTAAGCCGGAATGACAAACTGTATAGCTAGAGAAATATGTTTATTCGCAGCCTTTGTTTCTTTATTAGAACATCTTTTTTAAGATAAAAAGGATTATTATTTGTGAAAATATTTCAACTTGCTGACCAGGTGTTTGTGAAATGTTTGAAAATATTCTCCCGTAAATGTTCAACGGCACCATTTTACTTCTTGATTAAGAATAACTACTACCATTGACGTATTAAAAATGAATGTACTTTCTAGACGCCTGCGTGAGAATAAGCCACAACATTTTATTTGAATGCGTTAAAATTATGCAGTGAGGATGATTCCCAACAAACTGAGAGTGGCTGTGTTGACGATACGGCATATCGTCGAGGTGAACACGAGTGATACGAGAAGGTTGACATTCACCGGAGGGGTGCAGGCAAATCTCATCCACGCTCTTTCCGTCGCACTGGGATTCGCTTATGAGATAGTCATTCCAGACGACAGAGAATGGGGTCGACTGGACGAAAACAATCACTGGACAGGAATCGTCGGCATGGTCTTTCGAAACGAAGCCGACCTTGCCATCGGTCACCTCACCATGACACCCAAAAGAATGCGTGCCGTGGATTTTCTTCCCTTCACGATCGAAGAGAACACTTTTGTGACCAGGTTGCCTCGCGAGCGAACAAAAGCTGGTTCTTACCTGCAACCGTTCACTTTAGGAGTTTGGATTGCGTCTACGGTGACCACTTTCATCATGCCCTTCCTGTTCGGATACTTGATGAAAAAAAACGTTCGGTTGCTGAGGCTGTTCCTGGGTATGTTCGGATGTTTTGTCCAGCAAGCGCTGCCGTTTGTGGTCAGTGCCAACATAGACAGAATACTTCTGGGCAGCTGGTTCATCTTTGCTGCTGTACTCTCCTCTTCTTACAACGCTGTACTTTTGTCGTCTCTTACAGTCCCCATACAAGAAAAAGGAGTGCAGAACATTAAAGAACTAGCTGATGCCGTTTCGAGTGGCACATTTAAGGTACTGGCCACGAAGGGATCGACGGATAAGGAAACACTGACCGAAAGTACGGACGAGAACTTGAGGCTGATCGGAAGGAGCATCATCGAAACAGAATGGCAGTCTTCTTCTAAGCAGGTGGTGGCACCGGCGGACATCGCCGAAAACACGGCTATTATCGGACCGAAGTTCTTTTACCTCCTGGAATATGGGGTGGCCCCTCACACGAACAAACGCATTTTCGAAGAATCCATCGAAACCTGGAATGTCGCCATCGCTGTCAGGAAAGACTTTTGTTGCAAGAAGGCGTTTATGAAGTACATCTCGAGGATCATGAATTGCGGAATATATCACAAATTCTACAGAAACGAACTCTCCCGCAGCCAGAAGAGTTTTAATTCCAGCAATTATTCTAAACACCGCAGCGGTCCATTGTCTTTCAGTGATATGTTGGGAGCGTTTCTACTCCTCCCGGCTGGATACATACTCGCTCTGGTCAGCTATTTTATTGAATTTCAGGTGTATATGAGATTTCGACGACGCAAGAAACGTAAGAATCGCCAACTGCACTATCCATGGCCTGAAAAATATAAGTACTAAAAATTAATAGACTTCGTGTTTTTTTTTAACGTACACTCTTTCTTAAAATGCATTTATAGTAATTTGTAACGTGCCTTTCCCACAGAACTTAAACCATTCCACACACACAATCTAACAATTAGTTAAAAAAAAACACGTTTTTTGTCTCATATTTTTGTCATTATTGCATTAATATTAACATTGAATAATTCTTATAATTATAAGGATATATAGGAATTCTAATTCTTATAATTAATATTATTTCTTCTAAGAACTTGTGCTGTCTTGATTGTTTCGACATTTTTCTGATTAAAAACTAGCAGTTAGGTAGAAAAGAAGTAAAGCTATCAAAATAAAATATAAGTTATTTACTAAAACATTTAGTTTTTGTTACTTTTTCTAACACAAAAATGACAATCTAAAATTTTAGGTACTTTCATGAAATTTGAATTTACAGTTATTCTGATTGAACCGCAACAGTCTTTGTATAAATGTACAATGAATCGAATGCAATACATTGAACAGGAATGACATCGTCATTTCTGATCCGATAACCTTCTAAAGCAATAAATTGTTCTCCCGGTCAAATGACCGGTTGTGGTAGAAATAGGTATACGACAAGTATTATTCGAAACAGACAAAATACAAAAAAAAAATAATAGAATATTAACTGTATATAAGTTTTAGAAAAAGTCATGTAGTCAAATGTGCAAAAACGATAGGATGATAAGCACATTTTCGATGCAAAAGTTCTTAAATGGTCATTTGACCAGTTTTAGTGTTTGCATTTTTAGTGTTAAGAATGTTTTTCAAAGGCTCTGGCATTATGAAATATGTTTATTTTTTTAAAAATTTAAGCATTATCTTTATTACTACTATGAGCTTATGATGGTAAAGTTTGGTAATGATAGTTTCTAGTTAAGTACAGGTCACTTTTTGTTAGCACTGCTAATGGAAAACCTGCAAGTAAAGTAGTATGGGCATATCGATCCTGATTGGTTCTTGAATTGTAGCCTTTGTTTATGTTAACAACTGTTTTTTCCATTTTATTTCAAGTAATCAATTCTCTAATACATTCTATACTATTTCATAAAAATTTTAATTTTTCACTTTATATTTCGTTCTTAAAATAAACACAGACACGTAGGTAAGTAGGACATAAGACATGTAGTAGACATGTAGAACATAAACAAACTAATTTTGTATCCAAAGTTACACAAAACAAATCGGTTACAATACAATACATAAACAAATAATAAATCTAAGTTAAGTAAAAGAAGTGGACGAGGAAGAATTCTGTTTCAACAAATTCGATGTGCGATACGGCTCGATAGTTAATTAATTTCGCGTTAATTAACATTTTAATCTATGTGGAGTAACTTGGCTCGACTTTAACACGCCATCTTTATTTATAAATAATCAGTTGGCGCCAGTCAGAGGTTATAGGTCACGTGGTGTGTTCTCGAATTACAAGTCCTTTTTCTCGAAATAAATTAATTTAATTATTTATTTCGAGATTACTCTAAAAATATTACTCTAAAATTATTTTTAAAAAATCTAANAAGTAAAAGACGTAGAAAAGAAATAGTTATATTACAACAAATTCGATGTGCGATACGGCTCGGTAGTTAATTAATTTCGCGTTAATTAACATTTTAATCTATGTGGAGTAACTTGGCTCGACTTTAACACGCCATCTTTATTTATAAATAATCAGTTGGCGCCAGTCAGAGGTTATAGGTCACGTGGTGTGTTCTCGAATTACAAGTCCTTTTTCTCGAAATAAATTAATTTAATTATTTATTTCGAGATTACTCTAAAAATATTACTCTAAAATTATTTTTAAAAAATCTAATCAAATTTTTTACTGTCTTAAAATCGATTTAAATCTGTATTGTTTGACTTCATAGCGATAAAAGAAAATTAAGTTTTATTCAGTTGCTTTTATATTTTAGACACATATAAATCGATATGAAATCAGAATGACTCCGATTCTTGACTTTGTGAAAGTTCGAGTCTAACTTATACTCAATATACATTTTTACAAATCTCGGAAAAATATGAGTTAAGTATTTATTCCAAATTATATATTTCTGTTTTTGTAGGCACGATTCAAACAAAAGGCTCTTTATTTAAAATTACATTCTGTATTATAACACAGTTAAAAAATAATCTTTAAAAATAAAATATTAATGCAAAACAAAATATTTAAATTGTGCAAAACTAATATACGAAAGAACTACTTGTTAGGATATTACACGTACACTTTGCACACACACGCACATATATATAAGTTCAAAATGAAGACAAAACAAAGGAAAGTTACAGACATATGAAAAAAGGGGGAGAAAAGAAAAATAATAATAAAAAAATAACAAACAACTGGGAAGAAAAAACAAAAAAAAGGATAAAATTTTTTTAAAAAAATCCGGAAAATAAAAGATATAATCTTTTTATCAGCCCACACGATTATATCCACAAAAAAGAGTGCTTTATGATATTGTATCAATATAGCCAAAGCAAAATATATTAATACAATAGTGTGAGGAGCACTCAAAAAATTTTTACAAAAATTACAACAAACAAAATAGAACCCAATAAGCAAAAATAACACGTGAAAACAGAAAATAAAATAAAATAAAAGAAAAAAAAGTATATATATATATATATATATAGAGTGGACATAGAGTGTGCAGTATATATATATATATTTATGTGTACAATCACTCTGTGTCCAAATAAACTTATGTATAAAAGATATGTACAACTAAATAATGTTTAAAAAAAACTAGATAAACAATTTTAACGAGAAAATAAACTATTTTACAGCAATTATTTTATGGAAAATTGTGAAAACTGAAAGAAAAAAATACTTCGAAAATACTTTTTACTTTATTTCTAAGAATGTTTTACGGTTAAATGAACAAAACTACAAATTAAATAAATAATCCCGAGAAACTGAAGCGGTGTGGAATATATAAAACTACAAATTATTAACTCTTTTCAAGCATTGCAAACTATTTCTGGAAAATAACTCCATCCTAACAAATCAGGAATAAAACCATTCTTTTCTGTATAAAAAAAAAAGTTTTTTTTTATTATTATATTTCTTGCAGTTTATTCTTTTGTTTCTTGACTTCTCATGGCAACATTAACAATAACAGGATTCAAAATAATCCTCGTAAATTGCAACGAAACTTGTTAAAGAAAGGTGGCTGGCAGAAAAGAGGATTAAAAAAAAAAGGTGAAATCTACTTTACTGAGTAACTGAACGATTTACAGGATGTGGGGGGAGGAAGGAAAACTCTTGGGGAAAGTTTAGAACTTGTGTTCTAATTTCCTTCGAGCAAACAACATAAAGAGACTTCCAACTAAAGTAAACCCTCTCCAGAATATAATGCTTAAAGAGAAGAACACCTTCTCTTAGAACTTTATGTTAAATCATACGCCTTTTTCGAGACTTAAAATGGCTGACTTTTTAAAGTTTTTCATATACTTAAAAATATTTTTTTTTCATATCTCTTGACAAATTGAAGAAACATAATGCCTGTTTCAGTTTTGTTCCATGCATTTGGTTTATTGGAATTACCAACACTTGCAGGCTTGTGTGCTCAATCTAGGCTTATAAGCCTTTGTCAAATAGAAGGCCATGCTATAAAAGACCTACTATGATGGGCACAGTAGGTCCTCTATAGGCTGTCGCGCCACTGAATTTAGTTTAGAAGTATAGTGTGCCGACACTTAAAAACTGTGTTGTACTATTACTCAGAATTTATAGCTCTACAACTCCAAAAATTGTTTGAAGAAAATTGTGTTTGTTTTTTTTCAAATCTACTTTTACATACAATTACCAAATGCATACTATACATGCGAAATGCATACAATACAAAATCCAGCTTTTACATGCAATTTAGAAAGTGCATTGAGTCTAAGGAACTTATAATATAAATATTTACTCCACGTCACGAGCATTCACACCATTCTTTGAAAAATTTTTGCTTCCGATAACACCAATGTTGGCCCACTTTTTATATCGTCTGCAGAATTTCTACCATCAAATTAGCGGGAAATTGTTTCTGTTTTTCACGCTGCTATAAATCTATGTAAACAAAAGTTCGCCCTTACAAAATGTATATACTTTTTTTTTTGCTGTGTAATACGGATATTTAAATTTTTATTTATAAGTCTTTATAAACTGTGTTAAGTAATTCATGATATATCGTTTCCATCAGCTTCTGTTAAAACTAGTTGTCATTGAAGATTTTGTTAAGCCTAGCTGTTAAGCCTAATTCAAGTTCGTCTTAATATTCTATTTATGTGTTTCAAAACTAATGTTATTTTAAGAATTCGTGTTTATATGTATCCTATTCCAACGATTCCTACTTTATATTTTTTCTTAAAAATAAATTTATAAACTCATATGTGTATCTTATCTTACTGTAATTATAAATATTAAAGTTTACATTTTCAATAGTTATTAAAATATTTTCAATAGTTATTAAAATATTTTCAATAGTTATTAAAATACAAGTTCAAACACAATTTTTTAAACTTGAAGTGGATAACACTTGCTAATACAGTTTTTTTTCAAATATTAATTCATTCATTAAATTTAATTAATTAATTTTAGTTTTATAATGGGAGAAATATTTTTAATTATTTAATAAAAAGTAACTAAAATAAAATATTTCTTTGTTGACCTAAGTAAGAATTGACTTTATTTTTTTTTTTACATTACTTGTTTTTCAGTTACCTTGTCTTATCATTCTCTGAAACAGGTTCCTGAATTCCGCATAGAATTGTGCTGATAACTTATCAGAAAGAGCTGCTATTTCGAACTATTGGGCAACTTTGCATACACGATTCTTGTACAAATTCCGCGAAATATCGCAATATTCAGTTTGGAAAAAAAACTTCTTCGATTTTCTCATAGCTTCCTTGTCGATTTGAAAAGTTAAATAACTTTAATATCAAATGCAATGTTCACATCAAAATGAAGTTAAGACAACATTCTACAATTGGTTGAGAGCCAGAATTTACCAGAAAAGAAAAAAAATTTCGTTGCAGAAATTAAGGTGCCTCGAAGCAATATTAATAGAAAGTGCGTCTTCTTGCCATCCGTAACAAAAATGTAAGCAGAAACTAAAATGAAGCGTTAC